TTCTTTTTTCTTTTCTTTCCCTTTCTTTCCTTTCCTTTTCTTTTCTTTTCTTTCCTTTCCTTTCCTTTCCTTTTTTTCTGCCTATTTTCTGCTCCAGATTTGGCTAAATGCCTTGATCATCCCTGGCTCCACTACTCTGAGGTTTGAAAAGGGCAGAAAAGGAAGGCAATCAAGGGAGATCAACAGTGTCCATGTTGGATTATCCCGTTATGTCCTCCAAACCCCCAAGGGTGGACGGACGGCAGATTTCTCCAGCTGCTTCTGTGTAGAATTTTGGCACAGTCCCCCTACCTCGCCCCACCCCCATTTTTTTTCTTTTAGGGAGGGAGGCTCAGTTTGCTCTCCTGACCAATGACATCACGGCTCCGCTGTACAGAGCGGGGGGCTCTGGTGTCTGCTTGCTCTCCTGACGTTTATTAACTGTAAATAGTGAATTTCAAGTTGACAGGTACCTTCTCAGGGATTTATATATAAACAGAGTTAGGGGGGAGAGTCGATGTCTATTTTAATATTTTTTAGCATTTGAGTGAGTTATGATTAAACTGGACAGAAGAACTATTTCTAAGACAGTGTCAGTGCTGCTCTTTGCCAGGGTGATACCTGGGAACTACCCCTCACATTGAGATTTGACTATTGGAAGCCCAGGACTCCGGCAGCTGAAATGGCTTTGGAGTGGATGTGAAGTCACTCCTGAACCTCTCAGTTACCTCTTGTGGATATGAACCCTTGTATTTAAAAACAAAAATTTGCCTCTCTGTAAGTAGAGGTGACTGTGACACGCAGGTAGACTCTTCATCGCTTTTGCCTCGAGAACTGGTTGCTCCCTGTCTGAGCCTGTGGAGCATCGTATGCGGTGACAGTGCTTTCTGCTTGCTTCTGTGAATCTCATGTTCCCCAGTCAGCCCAGCACCGAGCTCCTTGCTGGGAGGGATGAGGGGAAAACTGGGAGAAAGTCACTCTGGAAGGACCTCAGTGTTCAGAGGCCATAAACTTTCCAGGTCTTTGGCTCCACTGGAGAAACGCAACCCATACGATTATGGACGTTCATGACTTCTTCTGAAGTGCCTGCCCACAGGCTCCTGGCAGCACCAGATACCTCAGAAGTACGATCAGAAATTGCAGTCCTTCGTCATCTCAACTTCGGGCACTCCTGAGACTCGCTCCTGCTGCAGAGAAGGAGGGAGAGAGTTCACGATGTCCGTGGGCAAATGGGACTCATGGATGCGGAGTGCCATCCGGGCTGCCCCTGCCCACCTCCTTCTGCAGTGTCAGTGGGCGACCAGGTCTCTGGGAGTCCCCTGTCAGAGCAGAGTTGAGGCCGTTTTCTGTGAAACTGAATCCCGTGAGGTGGGGCCAGACACCAGTCCTGAAGTG